TTTTTTTTGACGTCCTCAAATAATTTATCCACGTTTGTATCCAGAGACTTTAAAGCTGTATTAAGATCTTTGATTTGCTTGTTAAAATCTATAATGTTTTGTTCATTTTGCTGTTTTATATCCTTTAAGTTCACATCTTGAGTCTGTTGAAGGAATTTAATTTGCCTATCCAAGTCATTACGTGCATTTACATGCGATCTTGAAATATTCTTTAAAGAATTCAAATCATTGAAAATTATTGTTTTTTGTTTATTAAGTTCTTTAATTTGCTCTTTTAACTCATCGGTATTTTGCGTTAAAATAGCTAGTTCTTTATTTAAATTAATTTTTAATTTATCTTGTTTTTTACTATCGAGGTTTTCAATTTCCTGTTTTATTTTTGCATCCGATTGCTTGAGTGCTTTTAATGTCTCTTGTTCAAATTTACTAAGTGATTTTATTGTATCATCATAAAAATTTGCATATATTTGATCAACATAACCCATATTAGTAGCATCTGCATTTAAAGTTGGTGATTTCACATTACATATTTTTAGGTTTTCTGCGTCAATATTACCATCGGGAGTATATTTTAGTACATTGTTACCATACTGTAATTTTGACAATAACGAATTTTGATTAGATTGACCGAGAGATTGACCAAACTTGTTAAGAGGCATTGTTAAACTGCTGGTAAAACTTTATTTGTTTTAATATATAACACCTGCTTCTTTCAGCTCATTAATAATTGCTGTAATTTCATTATCATTTGATGTGTTGCCAGCATGCTTGGAGGCTACTAATAACTTTAATCTTTCAACCAATTCATTTACGTCATCCCAATAAATGTACTCTATTGGTTTTTCATTGTATGTTACCAAGGCGGGTGATGCTCTGCCAAACCCAATTTTTTCAGTATGTTCTTTACCAACTCTAAGTTTACGACTATGTTCTTTTTGTTTATCTATATCTTGCTGTTTCATTTGCTCTAAAACAGGCTTAATAATGTTTTTATATTTGAGCCCTCTATGCCCCATGGTTTGTTCGTTGGGATCAAAATTTCTTTTATGCGCGTTTGTAAGCACAACAAGTTTACCAAATGTTTTAAAATCTGAAGTCATGTAATTCTTAGGATTTTGTTTAAACATTAATTCGTACAGTCCTGGGGACCCCTTGAAAAAAATATTATTTACAATAAAATCAGGACCTTTAAACTCCACAATTGAATCCCCAAATTTGATCTTGCCTGTATCCAAATCGTGGTGAATATAAGTATGATCATATTCATTGCTAGTATCTTTCATATGTCCTTCAACAAAATTTCTGGGTAATTCATTGAAAAAATCTAAATATTCTGCTATAGAATCTTCCGGAATTGTTTCCATGATTGATTCGTTGTCGAGTGTTCTACTTAAGCTTAAGTCATTATCATAAAAATCATTTGTATCATGTTCATAAATAGTTTCATTTCCAGAAAATTTGGGGTGGTATGTTTTATTGAGATCATATTCGCTTTTATAAAAATCATTTGGATTATTTTCATTAGTGGTGTCATTTTCAGGAAAACGTATGCTTGAGATATTTAATGATTTATCTTGAATACCTTTTCTGGGGGATGATTCAAGTATTTTATCAATAGCTTTATATTTTATAGGAGATTGTTTTTTAATTTTTTTTGCTGGCTGTAATAAATCTTCTTCTTCAGCTTCTTTTTTCACAAAATCCGTATCATATGCCATTTTTTCAAGAGGCTTTATGATTGGTCTAAAAATTTTATCTAATGTAGCATCATTTTCAGCTTTTCCCAATTTAAGAGCTAAATATTTTTTTCTAATATTTCGCGAGAGTTCATTAATTTTTTCAGTTACATTGACAGTGGTTGGTGCCATGATTACTAATGATACTAAATATAGTTGTTTTACATATTTATATTTTTATCAAACGATAACACCCATTGTTTAAACGGGAGTCTTTTATAACAGCCTGTAGTTTTTGTGACAGTTTTGCAGTTTTTATAGCAGTTTTTGCAGTTTTTGCAGTTTTTCTATCGGTTTTTGCGACAGTTTTGCAGTATTTATAGCAGTTTTGCAGTTTTTCTAGCAGTTTTTGTGACAGTTTTTCTATCGGTTTTTGTGACAGTATTTTCAGCGGTTCTACCAAGATTATAAGGTTACTTAGCAAAAGCTACATATTTATATATTTATCAAATCCCTTTCGATAACGTCCATTGTTTAAACGAAAATCTTTTATAATAGCTAAACAACCATAATTTTCATTCCAACATTCTGAGCATATTTTCTTAAACTGATCATAAGACATATCAGGTGAGACATGTTCATCAAATACATGTTTTAAATTCATATCATCCTGTCTAAATAGCACAATAATATTACAATTATCACGTATTAATTGTTTTGGTATTTTTGAATATGTTTGACATAAGTATGCAGCGTCTATATTTTTATGTCTACCCATTGAATAGTATTCGCGTATTTTATTTTGTTTATCGCAAGCTACATCATCAAATATGAAAATTGAATTGTTTCGAGCTTTCATAGGTTCAATTATTTCATCATTATCTTTATATGGAAAATACCTCACACCTTTTACTTTGCTTAAAACATTTTGTAATAATTGATATTTTGGTTGGAAAAGAGATTTTGAATAAACGTAAATATTTTCAAATTTAGCTCCATTAGCATTAAATATTAAACTTAATAAAGCATTTGTTTTACCACACCCACTAGGACCACAAAAAATTGCTCTAAAGGAATTTGGTAGTAAATTACCATGTTTACTAGCATCAGAACTGGTTTCAAATAAATCTAAGTTATTTATAGGTAGTTTTTCGGGTTGTTGAACGCAACGCATTTTAGGTACTACTGAACTCAAATAGTTTTGTTAAGGAATATATATTAAAGTTTATTCAATTAATTTTACAACAGCACGTAATTTTTGGTAACTTATTTAACACCTCATTAGCTTCTTTCACATAAAATGAAACCATACAACATGGACATGTATCTGGACCTTCATCAGAATTTGACCAGGGGCACGTCTCAAAATGTTTACCATACTGGTTATTTACAATATTAGCATTAAGATGCTGCTCCAAAAATTCTTTTTGACTAACCCATTTTTTAATTTTTTCCTTTTTCAAAAATTCTCGATATATTTCTTGTTGAGTAGGATATTTATTTTCAAATTTTTCTTCACCTTCTTTACCACATTTTTCCAAAAATTTATCAATATTTTGGATTGCCATTTCAATTTCCTTTGCACTAATCATTATTACTGTACGATAATATTAAGACTGAATAATACTTTTTAGGTCACACGTTTTGGTGGAAAAATAATAAATATCTGACGTCACAATTCAAAATGGCGTTAAAAATGAAATTTATATAATTAATAATAAATCCTTATCTCCCGGATGCCAAACCACTGTTAAGTCACGCCCACCTCCTTATCACCAGCTCCCTTTCCCTTATCTCTAGTTCGCTGCTTTCACTGTCGCTTATCAGTAGAGGGCGCTTATTATCTCTAGTTCGTTGCTTTTACTACCGCTTATCAGTAGAGGGCGCTATTTGCAAATGGCCGACATCCGACGACCGCCCATTAGCTATTTGCAGGGGGCCTATCAGCCAACCACCGACCTATCTACAGCCAATCACACTCTACTGGGCGGGGTTTTGCAACCACAAACATCGATTAGCCCCCTTTTTTTGGGCCAATCACCTTTAGGAACGCCCCCCCTTTAGGAACGCCCCCTTTAGGAACGCCCATCCACCTGTCTGGCTCACTTCCGCTCTAGAATTGGTATAGTATATCTACTGGCGCAGTGCGCACATACAGGGTTTTGGGCCTTGCATGAACTGGCCATGTGCCCGTAATTTTGGCAGTTGTGGCATCTGGTGACTCTAATGTGGTCTGAGATTCTGCACCTGCTCATGCCGATATATACGTGCTGATTGGCAAGTAAGATTTTTCTTGCCTTTGGAGTGGTTTGGATGATCCAATGGACAGTGCTTGTGTCTCTCGGTCCGAATCTGAACTTTGCGATAATTCCATCGGAGAGGATATCTTCCTCCTCCTCACTAAGGTTGTCGGAATTCTGCTTAATGATGGCTTCCTCGACTTCGCTTTCTTCGAGCGAAGCCGTAACATGGTAAAGTGCTAGTCTTGGTGGCCTTTTAGTTGGAATTTTCGCAACTAGGCCTTTTGCTTTTAAGGCTGCTGTGCTAAGTGCACTTAGGTCAGATCTACTTGATTCTAATCGGATGCCACCTGAGGGGAGCTTGTTAATTCTATCGATTTTGATTCCGGTTTGTCTAGGGTTAAGCAGGGCAGTGACTGCTGCTTTGGTTTGGTCGGAAGTATAGGTTTTGGTATTGTCGTTATCCGTGTCCGGATATATTAAGGCGACTGAGGAATTTTTAGTCGAGACCGCCTTTCCTGTTGGTAAACGAACAGTGGTAGGGTTTTCTGCCGCAATTGTGGCGTAGGTCTGTTGTGTGGTTTTAGTTGCTCTGTTTAGTGCACTGAGTTTTGTGTCGAGCATTTCCTCAAGGGTTTCCATTGGGACGACCCGGCAGGTGTTTGCTTTTCCTCGCAAGGTTGTAAAAGCGTTGTGCATGATTTCGAGGAGGGCCTGGAGCTCCATTCTTTTAGTTCTACTGTCTCTGCTCGTTTCCTCCCAATGGAGCTTTATTGCTTCATATGAGGCTATGAAGTCGCGGCGGCAGTGGGCGTCGCGGCGGCAGAAATTGAGAGGCCCGAATTGACATTCCTCCACCCCTGCTCTTAGGGAGCAGTCCTCTCATGTAAAATTCAAAGGGTAAACGACGTTATGCACATTAGTAAATGCGGTTTTGAGTCTTTGTCCCTTTATGCGGCTTGATTGCCACCCTCCATTCCAGCGAGAACACTACCAGGGGAATCCACCAACCTCCGCCTGAGCAAGGACCAGCCCGGACATTCGTTCCTTTTCGAAACGCCTGCCCGGCCTACCCCTATCTCCCTTAAAAATTAGCAGGGAGCCCGTTTTTATATCTGTCCTCCAAGTCTTCCACAACCATCTCTGCCCATTCAATTAGTTTCTGTATCTGATTCATGTTCGCCTGTTCTCTTATTTCTCTAATCATTATAATGTTGTCTCCATATTTTGTTATTATGTCGTTTCTTGCTTGGCTTGGTGTTTCATTTGGGCATTCGTACATTATGTGTTCGTTTGTTTGGTCTACCTCCATGTCGCAATTGCAGGTTCCTTCCGCTGCTTCTTTTAGTTTGAATCTATTTATATATTTTTTGAAATTTCCATGTCCTGTTATAAGTTGGACTGCTTCACTTGTCAGTTCTATTTGTTGATATCCTACTCCTCTGCAGTGCTTATGTGTCGTACGACCCTTATCTGTTTCGTCCCAGTATTTCTGCCATTTGTCCCTGACTTTCTCTTTCCGAGTTTCCCGTCTTTGTTTTCTGCTTGTGCCCTCGTATTGTATCCTTTCCCATGTTATGTTTTCCTCTTGTGCCTTATCCTGTGCTTTTCTATGCGCCAGTTTCATATTTGTGTTCGATCTTTGTGTCCACCTTATTTCTATTTCTGTGCCCTTTCTGTTTAAGTTGCTAACTTCTCTCCTTATATGCCAGTCTAGTTTTTCTTTCGGCTTGATCTTGTCTTTGCCTTCTACTAGACCTTTACAATCTGTGTACAGTATGACCCTCTTGTAATTGTGCTCCTTTGTGATCTCTTTTCCTTTCATTATGGCTATTTTTTCGATCTTTTGACTGTCAAAGCTTCCACTTATGGTATCGCCTATTGTGTTTTCGAGTGTCTCATTCTTAATGTGTGCTCCAATTCCGTTGAACCTTTGGCCTTTACTGCCGTCTACCCATATGTGTATCTTTGTGCTATAACCAACTTGGGGTTATATGCTCCGGCAGCTCTCGTGTCTGGGAGCATAGGTCTGTGGGTTTTTATTCCTCATACTTACACTTTGGCCTGGGCGCCACCACAACTTTAAAGAGTACAATAACCTAAGGTTGTGGTCATTAAGTTAAACTCAAGGTTTAGTTACTTACTTTATATTTCAAATGCAAATTATATTAAATTTAATATTTAGTATGTTAAAATCATTACCGAATAGCTATTGGTTTACACTAAACTAAAAATGGTTAAAAAAATAAAATAATGTTTCATAATTTACTGCCACGCAGTTTTGCGCAATAAAAAAATTAATAATGATGATAAAAAACCTGTATCCCGATTAGGGTTTCTGGACGTCTGGTATACTCATTCAGAGGGCTGGATCAGGCTCCTGGATGCATGGGGCTATTCGTGCTCCATGGGTACTGTCATAAAAGCGATCTTTGAGACCGTTCCATCAGGAACTCCTCCATAGGAAAATCTCTCAGAGTAATTATTTCGCTACAGTTATAAGCGAAGACCAGGATAACCTCTCCAGAAAATGTGCCCCCAAGAAAAAACCCTAAATGAATAATACTTTGAATAAAAAATGGGTTACCACAACAAAAAAATACTTACGGAGTTTCTCCGGTTTTTTCGATGACTTTCTACAAAATAAGACCTTCCCAGGTCGATGGAATATTTCCCAGGTACTTTAGATGACTATTTAGCAAACTAGGAAATAGGATGACTTAGAAAAAGTTGGAATATATATTTGATTGCACTCACCACGCTGCTCGATTACAAAAAACTCAATTGTTCGGGAGACCACGGCAACCACTGTTCTATCTAATTGCGCTAACTTGGTATGATAGGCAAACAACTAGTTAATTACTAAACGAATCGCAATTATACTTTAGTTAGATTCAACAAATCATCTAACTTGAGAACCGGCCATTCGCACCTGTCTACCTGCAGAACATCAGCGTCTACCTCTTGATTCTCCCCTCTCTCGAACAAACCCCTTATGCGCAATATCACCAAACAATGCTACCAACGTACGATTTAATTATTGTAATATTCTTAATGCAAAGCGCACTTCAGCAATATACAAAAAATTAAAGAATTAATGAGCAACGCAGTGAATACAAACAAACTTAAACCAACTTTAGAGCCATGGCCCTTCGTGAATGCATTCCAAAGAAACAGTTGCCAAATACCGAAAGTCCCTAAACCGGATAAACGTCAAAACAATTTGAAATAATTCAACCACCAAAATTAACAAACTAACTTTCCAAATATGAAACCCGACATGAAATAAAAGTAAGTAACGTTTTTTATAAAAATAATAATTATAACTAACTTATTCTAACCCCCTTTTATCCTATTCTAAAGTACACTACTGTTGTAGGATTTCCAGAGCCCCAGATAAACTTAAAACGCATACATACTGTAAAGGAGACCCCGGAGCACCCACACCATTCACCTACACTCACCCACTTAACCATTCATATTTATCACACCTCATACATATCGAAACAATAACTAAAAGGTAAATTCAGTCGTAACCTAAAATATGTACCAAGGTCTTCCTGGTTATCAATAAAACTAAATTAAACGTACTCTTTTAGGCATGGCAAATCAACACCATGAAGCCAGCGACCTAAAGACCCCAAAATAATAACCAAAACATAAAAATACAATACTCTTAAGCCGATATGCGATATACAGTGTGAACAGGTGTGTACTCAATAAACTAAATTATACTTATACAGTGCGTAACTTATTTCTAATACATAAATCATGTAGCGTTACTATTGGTAACGTTACATATACCCCCCTCCAAAAAAAAAAAGAATTTATTTTAAAAAACAATAAACTATACAAACAACTTTGGTAGTTGGTCTCAACCCATTCAGTAATCTTATGAACCATTAACAGTTAAATTGTGATAGATGTGAAGTGGAACGAGGAAATTCCGATGCAGACTTCGTCATGCTATACCTCTAATCTAAGCAAATAAAACGTCAGCAAAATTAAACTATATGGAAAATAAATTCTCCTTGAAGAGGAAGGATCCTGACTAACCCCGTAAAGTTGGTATCTGGTACCAAAACAAAAAGTATAAAAGGCAACCGGTCCCCTGCATCTGAAGCAGGCCAGCCCTGTACAAAAACGGTGACATTATATCGTCTATTCAATCCAATTTTCAAAAATAAAATTTACAGTACACTACTGTAAATTTATAACTAAGTCCTATAGGACATAGTACCTGATAAAAAAATTCAAATCTTTATAAAAAACTGTGTTAATTCACAGGGTGTGGTGTAAATCACGATGTTTTTCCGACACCACACGGATGGGTTTCAGCTACAGGCAGTACGGCTTCACTTCGAATACCATAGCAACGTTGTTGGAGTTCCAACGTTGGCCTGACGAGATAGATTAGATTACTTCTTCCCGGATGAGTGACAGCGACAGCGACAAAAGAAACGCGTAGGCGACTCCATCAACGTTCAGCCATTTCCCCCTCAACCTCCCAAGAGAATTTCTATACCATTTATTGTCTGTCGACGGAAGTTGGAAGAGAAAAGGCCCAACTATCAACTTAATCAACCCCCAACGCCTCCATCATCACTATCGATCTCCCCACATCACATGGAGTGAATACAAACCACTATCTATAAATATATCTTAAGATACCGGGATAAAAAAATACATATTTATAAGTTATAATGAAGACAGTGTAAGACCAATAATCAAATAGTTCACGCTATATAAGATTAATGCTTACACTGTGTGGCGTTATTTAACTGACGACCCGACACCACTCGGTATATATATATGGTCACAGGCTGTACGGCTGACCGGGAATGCCGTAGCAAATGATACTGGAAGAGTACATTGGCCTGACAGGAATTACTTGTATAATTTACAAAACTAAAATCTAAAACAACTTATTAAACTACTATTATACAAAATTTTTACAAAAAATTTACACTTAAGCTAGCTCTAGGAGTGCTCTTATAATATTTATAGTAGGATCTTATTTGATATGTAGAGGTTTGTAATTTATGCATACAAAACGTCTAAATTTTAAGAGACACTTAAACACTTGAGTGTTATACAGGAATGATGCTAAGTCATAATCAGTATTGGTCAAAATCAGGTAATGTCTAACTCTACAAAAAAATCAAAAATAAGATACTACTTTTTATCGTCATCATCGGTAAAAACGTCACTATCAGAGAAATATGGCTTCAAATCTTTAATATGCCAATTTCCTAAATCACGGCCGGACTCATCTACAAGGGTATACACTAATTTTGACAATTTTTTCTTAACTGTACACATAATAAACGGCGGAGCAAGTTTTTGCGCAAAGTCATTTGCTGCATTAGAGAGAACTTTGTTCCTCTTCCAAACATAGTCACCGACACTGAATGATATATCCCTTTTTCGTAGATTATAAGTATTCGCGTTACGCGCATACGCCGCCTTTAGTTTTTTTTCTATATCTTTATAAATCTTGGACAGACCACCTAGTTCCTCAGCGTACTTTACGCGATCGGCCGTTTTAAAATCGTCCTCTATAGATCCGCGATAGTAATCCCCTAAGCACGGAACATGTCGTCCAAAATTTAAGAAGGCAGGACTATAACCTGTTACTTCGTGAACCGCAGTACGTAATGCGTAACCAATTTTAGAAATATTCAAATCCCACTCGTTGTGGTTTTCTTTAATATAGCTACGGATCGCGGTACCGATGGTGCGATTGCACCGTTCTACAAAATTACAGTGGCTACTGTACCTGGGATTGAACCTAATTTTCACTTTATATCTCTCAGCGAGATTTCTAATTGAATTATTGGCAAAATGCGTACCGTTGTCGCATATTATAAACTGAGGAACCCCACACACTAGAAAAACGTCATTTTCTAAAAATTTACATACACTTGCGGCGTTAGCTTTCCGCATAGGCTGTAATAAACTATATTTAGTAAACCAATCCGAAACCACGAACAAATATTGTGATCCGGCCTTTGAACGAGGTAACGGACCCATGAAGTCCATGGCTATAACTTGCCAAGGAAAATGTACGGTCTTTGCAACTCCCATTAAACCCATTTGTCCCGTGGTTGGTGATTTTTGTGAATTACACACTTTACAGGCCTTAATGTACCTAAATATGTCTTTTCTCATTTTTGGCCAATAATAAGAATTGCAAACTCTTTCATACGTTTTGCTATAACCTAAATGAGCAGCAGTAGGGTCGTCGTGGTTGGACTCTAGAATTTTACGGCGTTGGGTTTTCGGAACCAGTATTTTCCACTCGGAAATATTGGAACTTATTACTGAATGAGATGTAACTAATTTATAAACATATTTGTCTTTAACGAGCCATTGAGGAAATTTATCAGGGTTGGCTAAAATCTTATCCCGCATATTAATATAAAACTTATCAAGGTTTTCAAGATCAATGTCCCAACATATATCTATCCTATCCAAATGTAAATTAAACTCTGAAGGAGCAGGATCAACTGGGCTACGACTTAATGCATCAGGTACAACATTATATCTACCCTTACGGTGCACAAAATCAAAATCGTATTGTTGTAACCTAACACACCATCGGGCCAGTCTACCGGCGGGGTTTGACAACCGATCCAACCACAAAAGTGAAGCGTGATCTGTAATAACTTTAAACTTTATATTGGAACCTTCAACAAAACCCCTAAATTTTTCAATAGCGAATATTACAGCCAAGCATTCCCGCTCAGTAACTGAATAGTTACGCTCACTTTTGGAGAGAGATCTGGAAGCATACGCGATAACTTTTTCTTGGTTAGTGATATC